ATGAAGCTATTACAAAAAGGAATAACTAGTGTAGGGCCAAAACATCCTCCATTAGATATCTAGACAAGATGGGGGGAAAAAAACATAAAATCTTATGATTTTAAAGTCTCTCGATCGATACGAATCAAGATGTCAACCCTCCCTGCATTTGTTTTAACAACCATATAAGCTTAGCGCAAAACAAAATATACACGGAGCAAACTGTCCGACAGACGCTGCATTTACATTATAGGCTTTAGATCTTAAAAATGGTTGGAAAATAATACTAATGCAGATACAAAACTAGAATTATAATAATGCAAAATGCAAATACAGTCGTGTGGAATCAGCAGGTGTACACAAGAGTGGCACTAAGATATAATTTATGGCAGGTTTACTAATGCTATACCGCGTAGAAGACACGTTCCGAACAAAAACTGGTTCCCATCGCCCACTACTTGATTACTGAACTAATTAGATACTATGTTATGTTGAAGATTATGTGTTGCATGTTGGTACCTTCGTTTTTCCTTGTCCGATTTATAATCTGTTTTATATGTTTGTTATTATATTCGAAATGTTTTTACACAACTCGTACGTAACTTGCAGACACTATTTTCGATTTAATTTTATATATGGCAATAATTTTGTTTTAAATGTTGCTATACCAAGGACAGTTTTGAAATGGTTAAAAATAACTTTATATAGTTAAAGATAGTGTAGTAGAAATTATAATTAACAATAATTCGGTACATTTGGTAAAAAGAAAACTATTAGTCTAAACAAAACTTTGTCCACACACGCACAGTTTTAATGGAATACTTCGAACGAATCTATTTGATTCGTTCAGTAAAATTTGCTGGCTTTAAAAGTATTCTTTTCATTGTGTAAAGATTCATCAAACGCAATGTTGAATTAAGCAAAGGAATTGGATTCAACCTCACATTAGGAGATTTATTTGTAAGCTAACAAATTTGCCGTTATTCCGATTTTGTGTTGGATTTACGCGCTCTATAAACCCTTACATCAGTACTTCAGAAAGTAAATCCCGGCCTAAGTAACCCTCTTCAAAACATGATGGGAGCTATGTAATAACATAGGGAAACCTTTAAAGGCATTTAACAGAGATTTAACAGAGATTTATTGATGTAATCTGAATACTTCAATCAAAATAACAATATTGAATTCTTTCATCTTAGGTGTTATAAATTCTGGAGGTTCTTTAGTTTATTTTTTATTATACAGCACTTTTAACCTGAGTTCAAGATTGAGTATATAACATAAACTGTATTGAAACGTAAATTATTTATTACTAGTTTCCGCACGCGACTTCGTCCGCGCGGAATAAAAAAAAACAAATGTGAGTATCCTATGCGTTCTTCCAGAGTATCCTCTACATCTATGCCAAATTTCATCGAAATCCGTTCAGCCGTTTAGGCTACAAACTCTAACAAACATCCATCCATCCATCCATCTAAACTTTCGCATTTATAATATTAGTAAGAAGTAAGATGTACTGCAGTACATAATAAATAATCTAGATCTAAAGCGTTATCGGTTTCGTAAACATAAGTGACTTAATACTAAAAGCAAAATGATATCTGTAACTGCATTTATATACAAAATAACAATTTGAGTAATTGGTACATAACTAGAAATCAAATTAGATCGTATTTGTAGTGTGTAATTTGTACACAGTTGAACACATACAAATTGATTCACAAGCGGCGAAAATTTATTTGTTTACACAAATGTTACTTGCGATTAAAATGTTAATGTGTGTTTGTACATACAGCGTGTTTGTTCATCCCCCGACTACCTGAATACGTAACTCTTTAACTGCAGGTAGAAAGTTTTACACCCTATACTACGAGTACGAGATCGTTGTACTCGTAGTACTTACTTTTGTATATCTGTATTTTTTTTATTTGAAACCCATTGTGGTAAAGTCGATTTAGATTGGGACTGACTTTGACTAAACTATCCCAAACAGTTTTGCGACTGTCGATTGTTCAGGAGCTAATTCAGTGAATTGAAAGAGCGCACACTGCTCGATTTTTCGTTGTGCAACTAAACAGTCGTGCGAAAGTATAGTCAAATGTGTACGCGCGCTCTTATGATAAGAATTGAACCTAGTCTGGACTGATATTCACAATAATGTAGTCCCGGTATGATAGTTCTAACACATAAAAGTTTTTCCAAAACCCCAAATTTTAATATAACATAAAAACTTTTTTTACACAATTTATAATAATATTCCCTCAATTTACATTAAAACATTCAAACATGGTTGATAATACGATTAAATAAGTCATCAATCCGATCCGTGCAATTACTGTGATTATTTGACCGGCTGGCTGTAATATCACTCGTTATTCGCGCCCATTGCAAATGGCTGTTCACAGTTGAATCGTTTAGCGTTTACGTTATATTCCAAATGTTATTGTTAATTCACACCTGCTGTTCTAATTAATAAAAGCAGCGCAATTTAATAACAGCTAAGGACGTATGTCCTTTCTTTACTTACATTTCGTTTTATAACCGCGATTCTGACCATGTTTATTGATATTAGGCTTCACTGTTAACGTTATTTAACTAAAAACGGTTATTTTTCTCGCAATAAACGTTTTTCATTTGTTTTATAGTGACTAGTATTTGATCGATTTTGAATTGTAGTGTTCAATTCGTGTTCTTTGAATTGTGTAAAAGTAATTTAATGGGGCTATGTGATTTTTTTTTTATATTAAAAATATCAGTTTATTGTCACGTTTTCATCTTATTCTATTTGCGCGTAGTTTATGTATAAATATTCATGAATAGCGTAGATAATTGCGCGGCAATGTATGCTAATAGCGCACAAGGCATGCCTCAATGTCAGTCGTCAGATATCAACACAATATCGATATTACATCGATTATAATTCTCCACGCTAAAGCACGATGAGCACAGCCTTAATAGCTTCGTGTTGATTGTTATCATAAACATCCTCGTTGCACAAAGTAAAGATCTAATGTGGAGGAAATCCCTTGTAATATAAATTTGAAATTTGTTTTTTATTTACATTGCAAAAGTTTTTATCGACCGTTTCTACAAACGAACTGTACAAAAATAAACAGTTTATTGTTTCAGAAATTATGACTGTCCTGGCTATAACTCATTGAAATCGACGGCAACGTTGAAGTTACGGTGCACAACTCTTGGAACAAAGTACAGTCGCGGCAACCCGTGGTGTTTCACGCTTAGATTTTCCATGTTTCCAGCAACGAAACAAATTGACCGACGTATTTTTGTACAGACATAATTAAAAGCTACATTTGATTGTTGTTTCGCGTACTTGTATCAATACTTATAAAGAGACTGGCGCTTTTAGGATTATTTTATGCGGCGGTGTTTTTCGCTCTCTCGTTCCCCCCCTGGTGTGCTGAATCCAAGAACTTTAGTTTCTTTAGCTTTTAAGATGTTTCACCGCCAGATTCCCCGACTGTACTTTGTATCAAAGATGTATGTTATTAGGTCGATATGTCGTGAAGTGGTGGGTCTTCAGTAGCTCGAGGGCTGGCCAGTAGGTCAGATGGCGGTCACATCGGCTAGCTGCCAATGCCACTATTGCCACTGTCCACTGATAATCTTTACAAGATCACTGCATTTGTATGCTAATATGGCATACTTCGAACATTGATTGGAACATAGATTCAATGACATTGTAGATTTGATATTGTACTTTGTAATTTATGTATAATCTAATCTAGCATATTTCTAACGAAAGTAAAAACTCAGAAACGTTAGAATGATGAGTGTTTGTTTGTTAAAAGTTAAGAATATCGACAACTGACGAACGGGACACTCTAATTTGGTTATTGATGTAGAACATAGTTTGAAAGAACTCATAGGCTTTTCAGTTTTTTTTTTAATTCGGCAGCCAGTGTACGATATCTGAGTATGTATAACTATGGTAAACCGACAAAATAAATGTCAAATTAAGAGGAAATTTAAAAACCAATAACTCTTCTGAGATTCCTTTGATTTGTGACAGACTGCTGCTTGAGTAAAAACAAATTTTATTGCACAAAAACAAGTTTTACTGCTCGGATAAATTACGCTTCATAAATTCTACGAGAAACAATCATAAATATGGGCTTTTTTGTACCAATAATTATATTGTGTTTTTTTTTATTAGTTACGAAAGATAAAATTCATAACATTACAAATTCAAAAACAATAAGCATAAAATATTCAAGCGCGCAGTAATCTCTGAAAGTTTTGGCATAAAACATTGTGAGCGCGCAATTAAAGTGTAAATTGTTTGAAATGAGACTCTAAGTGTGCCACTAAGTGGGACATGATGAGCCACTTAAATTATTAACATCACAGAGACCCTGACCGAGTGAATTTGCTCCTGTGTGATGCGCTTTATTTATTATAATTACATAATTTACCTTGGACCATTACATAGCGAGTTCTCGGAACATGTTGCGTTTTTATGACAACCAACAGGCAAAGGTACTCAGCATATAAAAAACGTAGGCCACACAAGTTAGGATTTTCATTACCGTTTATTTATCTGCTTGTTTATTTAAATACTAGTTTTCGCCCGCGGCTCCGTCCGCATGGAATTAAAAAAACGAAAATGAGTAGTCTATGTGTTCTTCCAGACTATCCTCTACATCTTTACCAAATATCATCGAGATCCGTTTAGCCGTTTAGGTTACAAACTCTAGCAAACATCCATCCATCCATCTAAACTCTCCCATTTATAATATTAGTATGAAGTATGATAATAAACATACATTAATACTCCACGTGCAATATAAACATGTTTTATAATTCCTCGTGCATTTAATAATTGCATATAAAGGTGCAATCACATTAAAGTCGACCTGGAATTAATGAGAAAGATTTGAGGTAATTTTGAATGTCATTTTTACAGAAAAAAAGGTTTATCTACGTTTTAGACTATGGAAAAGTATTAAAAGTTATATATGTATTTTTATTTTTTAACAATAAATTCTTTTTTTTTTCAGTTGATTCAACGTAGGCTATACCTAGATGTCACAACTGTAAGTACATTTATTTTATTAAAGTAAGTAAAAAAAAACAAAAGTGAATATCCTATGTGTTCCAGACTATCCTCTACAACTAAGCCAAATTTCATCGAGATACGTTCAACCGTTTAGGCTACAAACTTTAACAAACATCCATCCATGCTTCTAAACTTTCGCATTTATAATGTTAGTAAGATATGTATGAAATTGTACAAGCTATTAAAATGCTTATGAAATCTATAAATCGTTTACTATTACTCAAAATGCAATGTTTCTAAAAGCCTTTATATTCCTATAAATAATTTAAATACTAAAAATATATTGAAGCCTGAATACCCAAAAATAACTAGAGGCTTAATAACAGCAACATAAACACAAGTTCTTAGAACTGTCTACCCGGAATTGAAGCGAAAAGTAAAGGGGTTCAAAGGTGAAATCAACGTCTTAAGACAAAGTAACGCCCGAGGCGCCCTCTGTCGGCTGCAGGACTAGCGCAACTCGCCAAACAAACTTAATGAATTTTGTCTGAAAAGGATAGATTACGATGAACCAGAAATAGCCTCAGAATACGATCATAGGAATTATTTTAAGCTTAATTTGATCTGATTTTTTTATTTTAATAACTTATCCCTAAATTAGTAAAATTATTTTATTTTAATTTATGAAAAAAAACTTACAGCCTAACCTTATCTAAATAACTATAAACTAGACGATAGAGAGCCAATGAAAAGTTTTCGCTTGTAACAATATTATAACAGAAACAAACAGCAGGTACTGCTGCCAACTACTAAATAGTTATTACAATATATATAAATTAGGTACAATATAACAATATACAATAGCCACAACGTATTAATAATGTTAGTAACAGTTATCCTACCAATTCGTTAAAAAAATACTTTTATTCAAATTAGGCCCTAGTCGCGCATAGGACATTGAAAAACTTCGTCTCGTAGTCTCATGAACATATCGCATCAGTAGCTGCTACGTTCCAGTAACTGGCACGCCAACTTCTACTTCATTTTACTGGTGTATTCCCGCTGTTATTTGTAAAAGGTATAGTTGCAGTACAAATAATAGAATAGTTTCTCAAACACCGAGTTGATATAAAGCCGACAATAAATTGGTATTTATCGAAGTTTACGCGATATTGTTCCCGGTAATATCGCGAAGGTATATCAATTTATGTCTCTTTCTTAAAATAAATCGCAAAATGTAGTAAAAATAAAAAATCGGTGATATAAGTTACAATGTTTAAAAAAACATTGATATATTGATATAATACTGGCAGGAAAAAAATAATCATCAACTTGCCCTTATCCCTTATGGAGGGTCGGCACAGTATGTGCTGCTCTTCCATACATCTCTATCAGCCGTCATATCTGAATTCACTCCTTTCTTAAGCATATCCTCTTTCACACAATCCATCCATACTTTCTTCGGTCTTCTTCCTTTGTAGCCATCCACATTCAATCTTAACACTTTCTGGTTTGACACTGGCAGGAAAAAAATATCTTCCTTAAATATTTAAAGAAATAAAAACAATTAATTGTGCATTGTTTAAATCCAAGATGAAACAAAACCATTTTGCTCTTCACAAGTATCTATTTTTATATCTTTCAACCAGTATAGTTTAGAGAAACCACTAAAAGCATAACACTTAGAAATACAATACCTTGACCTAGAGAGTTCAAAAACAAAGCTTTGTCCCAAATGTCCGTCATTAAAAAGCAAACAAAATCATAAATATGGCAGTATATATATTTCACCTTCGCGGTGCTCAGTCGATCGGTCACACATTATCTCGCATTGTAAGTAATACGGCCCATGTTAAGATGGCACTTTGTTAAGCTGACGTTGCGTAACGAACTGGTTAAGTGTGAACTTGACATCATTGGGACGCTATTGGCCAATGTTTATATAAGTTGAAGCTGCACATAGACTATCATACTTCATACTAATATTATAAATGCGAAAATTTAGATGGATGGATATTGGTTAGAGTTTATAGCCTAAACTGCTGAATGGATTTCGATGAAATTTGACATAGATGTAGAGGATAGTCTGGAAGAACACATACGCTATTTACTTTTGATTTTTTTAATTCCAAGCGGACGGAGTCGCGAGCGAAAGCTAGTCTGTACATAAATATTGTAAAACAAAACCCTTTTAATGTTCTTTAATCTTTGAGAAGTTCTTTAAGGATTTTGTTTAGGGTTTTATTTAGTCGGTTGTAAAATGGCTTATTAAAACACGACCCAATTCAAAATAATAAAAAAGTGATTGGCTTTTGAACTTAACGAAGTGCTATAAAAGATTTTTTTGCATTTTTTTAATAATTAATATAAAAATTAATCATTATCTATATTATAAAGAGGAAAGATTTGTATTTTTGTATAAAATAAATTAAAAAACAACTAGGCCGATTTTAAACTTTCTTTCAACCTTAGAAAGGTAATTTATTTGTTAGTAACATAGGCTATTGCTGAACATCACACGGGCGAAGTCGCAAGCAACAGCTAGTTTCAAATAAAGACATTTATAAGATTTAGCACATTTGTTTAGAAAGCATTTCAAATGTAATTGAAATCTAAGTCCTATCGTCAATTAAGTTCAAATGAGCAGAGTGGGTAAGAGGGATGATCCAGAGGCTCTTCTATTAGTCTTACACAGCTAAGCAATTTCTTAATCACAACTTAATCCGCGGGAACGGCGATCGGTTACCTTAACTACGGATTTGTAATTCGGCATTGAATTGAATGAAAATTTATATTTGTAATAGATATTTATGAATTATGATAAATTATATTGACTAAATACCTTTTTTTATTAAGGTTTTAAGAATTATCGCCGATTACATTTTTTTATCTTTTTTTATTTATAAAGGAGGATAAATGTCTCTCATTTTGGTCTACTAATTAACTAATAAATTCTTTACGAACATAAAGATTTATTTAATGTAGCATTATATTTTTAAATCGACCCAAAACAATCTTTTACATTTTGACAGTCGTTTTTGCATCTGTATTTAATTGATTTTCGGCCAATTACCAGTTTATGTCACTGGCCGGTTTGATCGTATAAATTTAAATTTCGAATAATAATGCGCTTCTCTTAAAGTTGAATGAACTTTTTATTGATCCATTATTTTTGTTGTTGAATAGTTTAGTGGCAACATTTATGATGTTATTTCCTCTCGATATTCCTGCTAGGATTTGTAATTTGATTGTTAATAAAAATTATCGAAAACAAATTAAAATTGCTGATGCTTATGAGAACCTTTTACCGTCGTTGTTAGACTTATTTGGAATAAACAATTAAATGTCACAATTTTTAAATGGTAATTTTAACAATTATTTCTGTCGATATTTGAGAAAGCTGCATAATATATGGCAACATCTTGATTTATGCGCCAACTCAATTTTATTGCTTTTAAAACAATTAACTGCAACTCTGCTTTCGTGCCAACAACAGGAAGCCGTGATTGCTTATTGTTTTCAGAACTCGTGAAAAATTGTTCGCATGCGAATGAAATTTCGTGACGTAACTTTTTTAATATTCGAAAATATTTTCTCTTTGGTTGAAATATTTTTGGACAGGTGATCGGGGCGTTAGTATTATTTTTAATAATACATAAAAATGGACTTCGAAATGTTAAGTTGTATTTTAAACTTTTACATAATTTTATATGATAGCTACGTGGCGCGGTTTTACTTAATGTAAAAACTCCTCACCTATTCTAGCATTTATCGAAATAAGAGTAAACTATCCATTATAATTCAACAGCTTAGCATTAAAACGGTTAAATTCTGCATTTCTATTTTTTTTTACAAAATATAAAGAGAATGATAATTTATAGAATGTCTAGCAAAGTGACAAAACGTTGCCAAAATGTGTCACTTGTGTCAGCCCGGGGGAGCTGCAAATTTTATGACGCAAATTAAAAGTTTGCTCCAATTTTATATAGTTCCCCCTAAATTTCGAGTCTTATACGCTGTGAAATTCCTGTACGAATAAATTTTAATTTACACATGAGAAATTTCATGGAAAACAAATGAATAAAAAATGGGATAATACGGTGACTATATCCACATAAAATAGCGTTAAACTTAAAGAAATATTAGGAATGAAACAATATCAACATACATACTTTTAGGCACATTAATATAATTGTAGCTAACATAATTAACTAACACTCAGAGCTACTGATCCCGCCAAAATGGCGCGCTATACCAATACGTCCGAATGACGTTGACAGCTGTCAGATAGGGATGGGACTTATATGCCAATGATCTAGTGTTGCGCCAACGCAGTACTGATTTTATTCTTAATATATCTCGTTATTAGCAAAGTCATTAAAAGGCAAGGTTAACAACAAAATTATTTCATGTAATATTAATCTCTTTACTATTTGATTACAAAATATTCTGTATGCCGATACTGCTTTTAAATTAATTTCATATCTGCAGGTAACGTGTGTCATAAAATATCTGCCGGATATCGTGTGAGTTGTAGATACGCTCCGGAAATTAAACAGAGAACAAACTAGAAGGATTTCATTTTCTATGAGAAAATATCTTGCGATTTCTAAAACATTTTTATGTGTACTGATATCCGTTTCATTTAGTTTTTTATTACTAAAGATTCGCTATATCCGTAGAAGTAAATGTAATTGTGTGAAAACAAATTTAAACCGTGTTTTTGTACGCAATCGAGGATAACAAAATGATTTTTACTATTTATAATAACAAATCATTTTAGTAATTTATAAGGAAATAGTTAATAAGCTTTTCTATTTTTAATATAAAGTGGCAACCGAGCAAGTGGCCACCTGAATCCACCGAAATGGAAAGCGACCGCTGACCATAAACATCCGCAATTACAGATGCGTTGTCTACCCTTCATTGACGGAAGAGGAGAGGCACATAAAGAGGACATTTCCCCTTCTTCTGCGTCTCCTACACCATCGAATCCATTTCTTGTAAACAATATTGATATGTTGAAAAATTCCCACG